AATCGGTCCCCCATTTTACTTTTAAAAATTGACATTTTTTTTTAAAAATCCATTTACTGGTTCTTATTTATGAATTGTTTAATTAACGAGAGAGAAGAAAAAGGACAGGAAAAAGGAGGAAGAAGGGAAGGAAAGAGTTTTGTTAAGGCAGAAAATTTTTTTCCTTCTGTGGGGGGCCTGCCAATAAGCATTCATTTTTCCCCATGGCCCCCGTTTCAGTGACCCTTATCCTTTCTTTTAAGGAGTTTTCAATTCGTTAATATGTGAGAACGAGTGTGAATCAATTGTGTTGTTTTAGCCCCATGTTTTCCCCTGAAAGCCCTCACGCCTTTCCCGGCTATCAGGGCCAAGCTTGTCGCCTAAGGGGGGGGCCTTCGGCGCAACAAAGCCTACTCAGCTGCCCTACAGACGGGCGAGAGGAATCCGACGATGCAAAAATCGTCGTGGTCGGTTATGCGGACGTCTTAGAAAAAAAAAAATTCCCTTCAAGTCATCTTTTGTACCTAACAGAGAACTATGTCATTGCAAATATGAATTTTGCTGATTTTTTTTCACAACAAAAGTATAAATTCTAAGTAATGGAAGAGGCGTCAGCTTTTTTTTTTTTTTTTTTTTTTTTTTTTTTTTTTTTTTTTTTTTTCGCTCACTGCTTTTTAACGCAATTTTGTCATGGGTTCATAAGGAAAAGTTGAAGACCAATGTCTGGTAAATCATCTCATCATCTCGATGCATTTCCTATAATTTCACGAAATATTTATATCAACGAAAAAAGCTTAATTGAATTGAATTTTAACATTTCGTTCTCAATTCTGTTTTGCCTGTAACTACTCAGAATAATGTGACGTTATTTGTTAGAGCCAGAAGATAAATTGAGAATCGTTCTCAGTGGTCGAAAACAAAGACAATTATAATTTTAGCTTTGCATATTTCACTGTATCATTTCGTGGAATGAAGCACGGCCATTTCACCCTGTACCGAGTTAAGGTGTTTTCTTTTCTCTTCCAAGATTTTTCACGTTTAGCTTTATTTTTTACTTTACATCTGCTGTTAGTGTGAACGCTACGATGAATTTCATTAGCTTATGCCTCATGTTTAGTAGAGATACCCCTAAAACATTTTCTTTGTTTACCAGTTGTCACTAGGTTTTCTTTGACTCCTTTACCATAAACTAAAGCGTTTCGAATGGTCTATTTATTGCCTTCATTTCTGATAGAAGGACTTTCGCATCTTCTGTGTGTCTACATTATTTGCTAAGTTTTGGTCAGTTTCAATACTTAAAATGAAACTGATTTCATGTCTGAACAATTCTGAGTGACATTGGTTTCAAAATCACGGCACTTTAAAATGCCGCGAGTGGCACCCATCGTTGCCTAAGTGTAGATAAGTGAGGACTCGTATATTGCACATAACCGCCATATGATTTGTTGCAATACGTTTACCTTGCATTTTTTATATGTGTATATGTATAACCTTGTATGATGTTCCTGTTTATGGATGTGGCCCCCATATATGTACATTTATTGCATGTGACGTGGCACCACTGTCCTGGGCCACGTGACCTAGCAACATTGCCTGTGACCGGGGTTTCCCGCCAAATTTCGCTCTCTCGGCGCTGGTCAAGCATAGGAGACAGATGTGTGCTCTCGCCCCCCTATGTAATTCCTCTGAGAATAGAAGCTACTGGATTCAAGCTTGGTGTTTCGTTTTCCTGCTGGTTACAAGGAAGGCCCCCACAACCCAAGAAGAAATATACACTAAGGACAAGAAGAAATATACACTAAGGACAAGAAGACCGATACCTTTTCCGGTGGCAACGAGGGCGACGCGACCGGTGCGCACTGATTGAGAATACAATATCCTAGATGGCTTTTGATGGGCTGGGTTGTGCTGTTATAGACATCCAGTGTAGGTACGAATATGCATGAATTTAACTGAGGTAGGAAGAATGCATCTGGCGGTTCGATAAATGTTTACTGCTCAATTCCTTTCGCGTCTGCTGTAACCGGTGGAAAAGGCGGTTTCATAATGTATGTGTTATGAGTATGATGTCACTGTGAATTTTAGTTTTGTTGTTTACTGCTGTCTCTGTCTATTTTTCTTTCTGCTTTCCCTCTTTTCTGTTTTTTTTACTTTCTATTTTTCTTTCTGCTTCTCTCTCTCTCTCTTATGACTTTTTGCCCCTGACTGAGGAGTTTATGCATTTCCTGACAATCGATTACCTTTTTTCTCAATCTGTTTATCATCTCTCCTTTTCCTCCTTACTTCCATATAGCGTCCTCTCCCTAATTTTAATTCTATCCCTCTCCTCGCTCTCCCTCTGTGGAAGCCTCTATGGAGGTAAAAACGGTAGGAGACAGTAACCTCACTTCACCCCCCCCCCCGTACTACCTCCTCCCCAACCCCTGCGTCGCTCCTCCTCCTCCTCCCCAACCCCTGCGTCGCCCTCCTCCTCCTCCTCCCACCCCTGCGTCGCCTCCTCCTCTCCTCCTCCCCAACCCCTGCGTCGCCCACCTCCTCCTCCTCCCAACCCTGTGTCGCCCTCCTCCTCCTCCTCCCCAACCCTGTGTCGCCCTCCTCTTCAACCCCTGCATCCCCCTCCTCCTCCTCCCAGTCTATTTCTCCTCCTCCTCAGTCCCTCCTCTTCCCCAACCCCTGCATCACCCTCCTCTTCATCCTCCCCAACCCCTGCATTGATCCCCTCCTCCTCCCCCAACCTGCTCGTCCCTCCTCCTCCTCCTCCCCAACCTCCTCGTCCTCCTCTCCTCTTCACCAACCGCCTCCTCTCCCCACCCCTGCATCACCCCTCTCTTCATCCTCCCAAACCTCCTCGCCCTCCTCCTCCTCCTCCTCCCAACCCCCTCCTTCTCCTCCCAAACCTGCGTCTCTCTCCTCCTCCTCAACCCCCTCTTCTCCTCCCAAACCCTGCTCCTCTCCTCCTCTCCAAACCTCTCTTCTCCTCTCCCCCAACCCCTGCGACAATTTCCTTTTCCTCCCGAACCCCTACAGTCTCCAGTGTACGTAGGCTCAATCCGAGCGGGATTGCCGGGCGAGATAGCTTCCAAGGCCAAAAGGGTGCGGCTCGTTGCTAAGGGGACACTCAGGTGCTCCGCCGGTCTCCTGTGTCCATAGCTGGCTCGCTAACGATACCAAGAAATAAAAGACACATGGCTGTCCGAACGGAAAAGACTAAACTAAAAAAGATAATAATGATAATAGAAAGACCTCCTGGTTTCGTCGAGGACGTAGGAGGAAACACGGCCAGGACGGGCAAGCAGGAGGCATTGCTCATTACGGGGCAGGCAAATGCGTGCATACGCTTCCATAGTTGGGCACTGCAGAGGCGAGTTTCCCAGCTCACACACACACCTTTAACTTTGTAAAGGGTTTGTGTGTGTGTTAAGGGCGTGAGCGAGGCTAGCTACCCCGTTTGCGTTATCTGCGGAGCGAAGGTATCCGATAAGAGGGGACAGGAAGGCGGCGCCGGATGCAGCGAGCTCGCTTGCAACCCGCAGCCCCAACTGCCACAGAGACACCGCCAACGCTCCAACAGCAACACCGCAACCGACGCCCCGACCGCGACGAAGGCCTCCCTTTACAGCAACGACCGACTCGTAAGTAGCCCTTGGCGCAGCGTCGCGGGGGCGCCCGTAAGTCGGTTCAGGCGCAGTCGGCGATGTCAGGGGGAGGGAGAAGGGGGGCGGAGGGGAGGGGCTCGGCAAGGGGAAGGAAGTGAGCACGACCAGAGGAAGAGAAAGGTTATGCTTAGCGTGACAATAATGGGGCTCCTAGCATCTGCTCAGGATTGTAACATCTCGTTGGTTGCGAGTTGAAGAGCGACGAGGGGAAGGCAATTCCTGCGGTGACTTCGGGATCACCTCCTCCAGAAGAGCCACGGTGTCTGTGCCAGTGTGGCCTCACCGGGATTTGGGGACTTTTGTATTTCACTACTTATTAGGTGTCTTAAAAAAAAAAAAAAAAAAAAAAAGAGAGAGGGAGAGCGTGTGTGTGTGTGTGTGTGTTTGCATGTAGTGGATGGGGCAGTGATGTATGGGATTGGTGTGGGATGGGCACTGGTGTGGTGATGATGGTGTATGTGGATGGGGCACTGGTGTGGTGGATGGGGCACTGTGTGTGGATGGGGCACTGGTGTTGGGTGGAATGGGCACTGGTGTAGTGGAGTGGGTGGTGTGTGTGGATGGGCATGGTGTAGTGGATGGGGCACTGTGTGGTGTGGTGTGGTGGATGGGCACTGGTGTGGTGGATGGGGCACTGGTGTGGATGGGCACTGGGGGTGGGCACTGGTGGTGGATGGGGCACTGGTGTGGTGGATGGGGCACTGGTGTGGTGGATGTGGTGTGTGGGCACTGGTGTGGATGGGGCACTGGTGTGGTGGATGATGGTGGTGTAGTGGATGGTGCACTGGTGTAGTGGATGAGGCACTGGTGTTGTGGATGGGGCACTGGTGTGGTGGATGGGGCACTGGTGTGTGGATGGGGTGGTGTGGTGTGGGCACTGGTGTTGGTGGATGGGGCACTGTGTAGGTGGATGGGCACTGGTGTGGTGGATCACTGTGTGGTGGATGGCACTGGTGTAGTGGATGGGCACTGGTGTGGGGATGGGCACTGGTGTGGTGGATGGGGCAACTGGTGTGGGTGATGGGGCGGGTGTGGTGATGGGGCACTGGGTGGTGGATGGGCTGGTGTGGTGGATGGGCACTGGTGTAGTGGATGGGCACTGGTGTGGTGATGGGGCACTTGGTGGTCACTGTGTGTGGATGGGGCAATGGGGCACTGGTGTGTGGATGGCACTGGTGTGGTGATGGGGCACTGGTGTAGTGGATGGGGCACTGTGTGATGGGGCAAATGGGGGATGTGGTGGAATGGGCACTGGTGTAGTGGATGAGGCACTGGTGTAGGTGGATGGGGCACTGATGTGGTGGATGGGGCACTGGTGTGGCCACTGGTGTGATGGGGGATGGATGGGCACTGGTGTGTGGATGG